CAGACAGTTCCAGCCAAAGGCCCTGCACGAGACTTGGCACTTGCCGCCTCACTTCCTCCCTTCAGAAAGCCCTTCTCACTTGTTTGGTAACTGGCTTTCTACTCTTTAAAATCTCAGTCTACATGCACCTCCTCTAGAACACATTTCCCGATTGACCCCACATGTTTCTGACTCCATCGCAAGATGCTCAAAGCGCCCTTAAACTTACACGTCCTTTAATGGATAGTGGTTTTTTTTTTTTTTTTTTTCAAGTTTTTGCAAAAAAAAAAAAAAAATACTATTTGACCTGGGAGCTCACCTGGAGGTGAAGGCAGTATCTATTGTCAAAAAAACTGATTTCCCATTTCTTTCTTTTCAGGTTCTACCTCCTCCGATAAAATCTATCCCAGGGGTCTAGCTCCCACCCGAGATTGCTGGAATCTTCCAGGCTGAACATACCACTTCTGAAGCAGAACTACGGGGCGGATGACTGATGACGCAGCAAGGCCCCGGACGGCCACACCCTACGTCAGAACAGCCCCCCGGAGCCCCGGAGCACACACGGGCCTTCATCCCACCCACACTCTTAGGAAGCAGCGTGTCTTCTCTCTCATTTAAAAAATGGAGAAACAGAGGCCCATAAGATTGATCAAAACTCTGGGCCTTAAAAAAAAAAAAAAGTACAAGAAACAAAAGCACAGAAAACAAGCAGGGGCTTCTTGGGAATATCGATGTTCTTTTTCTTGACTTGGGGAGTGGGGGGAGATGAGGTGTCTGCTTTGCTATTGTCATTTAAACTGTACCCACCTGTTTTCAGGCACTAGATAAGCACGTTTCACAATTTAATTCAGCAGCGCCCTTCCTGCTGAAGGCGGGCAGTGTGCAGTTGTCCGCAGGACGCCCGGTGGGCTCTCTACGGGGGTGTTGGGGGCACACGGCCACGCACGGAGGACTGCGCCACCCGTGACTCCCGGCACAGGTGGTGAGCCAGCAGGGAGAACCACTCAGGGTCCGCTTCTGACTTTCTCTCTGATATGTGGCTCCCAGTTGTTTTCCCTACTCTTCCCTCTGAGCAGGCAGGAAGACCAACCAGTGAATGGTGTGAAGAGAAGAGCAAGAGCAGGAAATCCAAATGAGTGTTGAGTCAAAACCAGGATGGGGGCAGGGTGCGGTGGCTCACGCCTGTAATCCTAGCTCTCTGGGAGGCCTAGGCGGGCGGATTGCTCGAGGTCAGGAGTGAGAAACCAGCCTGAGCAAGAGCGAGACCCTGTCTCTACTATAAATAGAAAGAAAGTAATTGGCCAGCTAATATATACAGAAAAAAATTAGCCGGGCATGGTGGCGCATGCCTGTAGTCCCAGCTACTCGGGAGGCTGAGGCAGGAGGATGGCTTGAGCCCAGGAGTTGGAGGTTGCTGTGAGCTAGGCTGATGCCACGGCACTCACTCTAGCCTGGGCAATAAAGTGAGACTCTGTCTCAAAAAAAGAAAACAAACAAAAAAACCCCCCACCAGGATGGGGATAATGGAACCGGGAGCTCCCTCTTTTTCTTTGGGGAAAGATATTAACACTGCTCGGAAATCTCTGGGGGAAATCATTCACAGGGGCTTTTGTGAAAGGAAAGGGAACCTCAGGGGAAGGCCTCTGGCCAGCATCCCCGGACCCTTCCTTTTGGGAAAGGCTCCTTCCCTCCGCTGCACAGGGGTGGGTGGGAGCCGTGGGGAGGTCGGTACTTTCCTCCCCTGCCCGCAGGGCTTCCGTGACATATCAGCACAGGACCAGCTCGCTCTTACGGTAGGCCATTTATCCTGGGCCTCAGAACTATAGTATCTACCAAATGATAGATTTTTAACAGGGACATGTGCTCCGTGTCTCTTTCTGCAGTTTTCCCCTAAGCGCCTCTCCTCGCCCGTTCTCACCGGGGCTGGGTTTTCTTGCTGGAGAATTCTGGTACACTTTTGGCCAGCCAGCACTGTCCGTGGCCGGCAACCCCAGCGTCTGCTCCCAGTGAGCAGGGAAGCTGGTAACACAAAGGACTGGAGAATGAGGACAGATGAATGGAGACACGAACTCAAGTGATTAAACTGGAATCCAGGCCACAAGTGGCTGGGCAATGTGACTCTGAATTGTTGGGCTCCTGTTGCAGGGGTGTCTCTTGAGATCGTCCCCGAAAAGGTCACCCAGGTGTGTGGAGTAGCTGAGAAGACCCCCAAAGTATCTGCACGAGCCTCCTGTGGGACAATGTCCATTTTCAGTTATAGTTATAGTTTTAAAATTGTGCTGCTTAACTACTTTTCTTCTTTTCGTTGGCCCTTCCCTCCCTGTAATCACAGACCCCAGGCCACCAGAGCAGAAATTTACCGTGCACAGTAAGATGCTCCGCAGTGCTAAAGGACCAGAGGGAGACCATAGGAGCCCCTGAAAGCACTGGCTGTCGCTAGTTAAGCATCATTCAGATCACTCCAGCAAAAACGAAAATTCTGTCCTCTTCCTCTGCCTCTCCAACCTCGACAGAGGTGCTTTAGACAGAGCTTCTTATTTTTGCCCCTTTCTCAAGATGATTTCCTCCAATGCACTTAATTTATCACAGTGCCTGGAACTGTCGCAAGAAAATAGAAGTGGGACTAAGGGACCAAAATTCCTGTCCCCAAAGTTTAAAATGAAAACAAAAGCAAACCAGAACTGCTTATCAGCCTTGACCAAACACAGGTGTGGGGTAGAGGGTATTAAAAAGTTAAACTTGCCCTTTTCTGGTACCACCATCAAATCTAAAACAAGTCAGCTTCTACCCAGTTCCAGAGACAAGGATGGACATTTTCCCTCATTGGAAAACTGTGCCAGCATCGGAAAACAACTTTTCCAGCACAGGAAAACAAGTTTGGACACACTCCAATATTCCTAGTCCCTTCCCCTACAAAGAGGCTCAGAAAAGTTAAGTGATTTGCCTGAGACCACAGAGTAAATCATACTGTGCTGGCTCCCAAGTTCATGTCTGTTTGGGAAGTCCCTGTCCTGCAAGTAAACATGTTGTGATGAAGCAGAGGTAAACAGGAAAAGGCCCGCTTGTTTCCCTGTGCTTCCACAAGCAGGCAGCCGCTAGGGTTTCTCCTGCTGGGCTCATATTGCTGTGTTTGACCTCAGTGGTATGTTTTCTTGGGGGTAGGAGGAGGATGGGGAGAGTCTCCTTTTCTTCTGCCTGATTTCAATTCCAGTTCAGAGAAGTTCAGCAGTTAATATCGAGGGTGGAGTTGTTGCTATATCTGCCCCTGATCAGAATAAGGGCATCACCAAAAAAGAGAGAAAGATGATAGAGAAGGGTGGGAACGAAGGAGCCTAAGGCAGCGTTATCTGCGGAGACAAAGACACTGCAGTCCCCCCACCACGACCAGCCCACTGTCCCTCACGAAGGCAACTGGGGAGATGAAAGCAGCCAGCAATGGTCACTGCTGGTCTGAGCTACAGGGTGAGGGAGTTTGAAGGCTGCCTCTGGTGGGCCCAGGTGAAGGTCCCACCTGGGCAAAGAATTAGGCTTGCTGGCTGGCCAGGCTCATCTGGACCAACTCAGAATGAGGCTGAAGTCTGCAGCAGAAGGCTTGCTTCCCACGACAGCATTAAGGGGACCCCCTTCCCCCGTACCGTCTGACTTAAAACAGGAACCACACCTCCTGACCACATGGGGTGGACTCAGGGGTGCCAGCTGATAGACACCAAGGACTCCCTGGGCCTGACCAAAGCGTAAGCTTCCTGTGCAGAGCCTGTCCAGTGGAATTCCTCTTTAGACATAAGGCTAGCCACGGACCTCTAAAAGGACAGCAGCAAACCAGAGATCAGATTTGAATAACTACTACAAATTTTTTTAAGTACACACAAGGACCTCACTGCCCCCCTTCTTTTCACCGCTCCCCAAGGAACGCAGACAGGTAACATACACAGGTAAGAGCACACACACTCACCTGCGCTCTGACTTCCTGACTCTGAGCCGCTCAGGCCAAATGAGGAATGTCATTGGCTTATTCTGGTGAGCTCCTTTGAGGCTGCTGCCATAGGATACAGGTTTTATTTAGCGTTAGGGAGTCCTTTCCGTTCCCCTAGCCCAGACCCTGCACCCTCTCTGGAGAGAATTCCCCTGAGGCATCAATCTCCAAGGCATCTAAGTTCCTTCCTAGGGCTGACATCTCGCTCAGCCCCACCGCGAGCTGCCATGAGAAGCCTGTGCCTGCAGTCTCCCGGGCAGCTCCAGCAAAGGTGCATTATTTATCCCGGCCGCCGTTTTAATTGATACAGAGATATATATTCAATACAGCTCGCCAATTGTCTCCGCAACCTCAGGCCGCAAAATAAACAGCTCCATGTGAACAGTCCTCTCCGATTCTGGTTCTAGCTGCTGGCTCAGCGTGTGTGCAACTTGAACCGAGGCCCCAAAACAGCCTGAGCTCTGCTCAGCCACCTGTCAATTCTCCACCCTGGGGGTTGGTTCGGCAGGCAGGCAGCGATCTCCAAGCACTAGCTTAACCTCTGGCTCCACCTAATGGCAAGAAATCCACAGGCCCCTTTCGCAGATGGACAAACTGAGCTTCATCCAGGAAGATCCCAATGGGAGGAGACTAACTGAACAAATGAAACGAATGGTCACCCAGCTTGGCCTCCCAACTCTGCAATTTTCTTCCCCTGCCACCCTACAGGAGGGAAAGTGATGTCAACTTTTTAGTTAGCATCCTGGATTTCTCCAGCCCTTTGTCTGCGAATAGCACTTCATACACATTATTCGAACAATCTCTGCTGGGTGAGTCACTAGAACGGCTGCCGAATAATGGGGAACAAACACAGAGGCCTGGCATGGAGCTGAAAGACAGAGGCACAAACAGTACCTGACGTCCCCCCAGGGTTCTAGCCCAGCATCCGCTCATCCTCTCTGACCTCTGCCTGGCTTCTCCCATCACTTTTACCCTGTTAAGGCACTTCTGCGCCGGGTGGCGCAAGACAAGTCGCCGGCTGGGCTTGCCGGGGATGGTCTGCGCTCACCTTTAAATCAGGAGGCTTGCTTCGGGGACCTGGGTTGGGCGCCGCGGCAGCGCCGGCATCTGAAGTTGGCCCGCCAGCAGAGTTAGCACCCGTGGCCTCCCCAGGCCGGAGGTCTGCGCCCGGCAGGTGGCAAGCGGCATCTTCCAGCCCAGCTCCATCCTCCTCGCCCTGTTGTTGCTGCAGCTCGTCCGATTTACACCTCTTCATGGTGTATGTGGGTCGGCAAGGGGAATCTGTCCTTCCAGCGCGCCGTCTTCGGGGGACCGCACCCCCTCTTACACTCAGAAATGAGGCCTGGGGTCTAAATTATTCACAAGAAAGGGAGTCGGCAGATCACAATTTCTTGAGTTAAAAAAAAAAAAAGATTTTTAAAGCAGGGTGAGGGAGGGGCGAGGAGGGAGAGCCTTGATTACAGCTTGGAATAGTTCATTATGACCTGGGGGGCGAAGGCAGGTCACAGTCGAGGCTGGGCGGCAGGAGTCCTTGGGCAGTCATTGCAGGAGGGAGGGGGGAGACAAGCCCCGGCCCCCAAACTTTCTGCTTCAGGGCACGGGCCGAGCGGAGGAGAGCAGGGCGGCACGGCGCATCCCTCCCGGCGGGCCGAGCTGCTGGGCGAGGCAGGGCACCGGGCAGCCGGCCGGGCACGTCCTCGTCGGCTGCCCTCGGCGCCGGCTGCGGCCCCGGGCCCTGCCGCCCCCAGCGGCGACAACATCCCTACGGCGCCTCCTCCCCGCCAAATAAGGCGAATGGGTGGGGGAGATCCCGGGGGAGCGGTCCCCGGGAGGGTCCCGCCGCGCCCGCCGAGCCCGGCCTGCACAGCCCGCCGCCCGCCCGCGCTCCGCAATGCAAAGACGCGCAACACCGCCCTCCAGACCTCTCCCCGGGGATCGCACCGTGCAACCAACCTAACGGCGCGGCCGCACGCCGCCCCCTCGGCCCTGCGGCCTTCCCATTGGCCGGCGCCGCTGTCACTCGCCCCTCGCCTCGCCCTCCCCCTCCCGGGCGGAGGCAGCGGGCGGGTAGGTTGCGCGCGTCGCGGCGGGCCGGGCCGCGGCCGCGGCTTTGCAGCAGGCAGCGCGGCGGCGGAGCGGGGCGCGCGGGCGGGGAGGGCCGGGCGCGCTGCGGGCTCCGCGGCGGCCCATGCGGGGCGCGGGGCGGCCCGGGGCC